AAAAAAAAAAAAAAAAGAAAACAAAAATCCCAGGAGGAGAATGGAGGAGAAAGGATCGCAGTGTGGCCAGGCCCCCGGGGGAGGGATTTCTCACTTTCTCTCTCACTGCCTCTCTGTCTCTCTCCAGTGAGCTCATGCTCCCTATGACAAAAACAAACAAGCAACCAAAAATAACCAAATATCAAGATAACAGAATAAAACGATCATTTAATGTACAACTGAGGAACTACATGAAGACTTAAAAACTCCGTGTCAACTGACAGGACAACTTGAAAATTCAGTCACTTTTGTGAACGTGATTATTATTTAATCATATGGTTTACTTTTTGCTTTGTATATCTTACCACATAACTTTGTCTAAGCTTTTAATATCGTTTTCATTTTTAAAAATTACATTGCATATGCTAAAAATTTCAAATATGTCTTGTGTAACTAGCCCAAACCTTAACCCTAACCCTAACCCTAACCTAACCCTTCACTTCTCAGTCTGTATGCAACAGATACATTCAGTTTTGGGGGGGGGGTGTTTTCCTGTATGCCTGCCTTTGTATGTGTGCATCCTCTTTTTATTTTTTTAAATCAGTTCCTCATCTTCTTATTTTTTTTAAGGAATTAATTTATTTAACTTTATTTATTTATTCTGATTTGACCAGAGGGGTGAGGGTAGTGAGAAAGCAAGCCACCAGTTCCGGGACTGAAACTGCAATCAGCCATGTGAGAGTCCAGCACCCTTAACCACCATGCCACCTGCTAGTGCATGTGTATTCTGATATATATATATATATATATATATATGTGTGTGTGTGTGTGTGTATGTATATATATATATTTATTTTTTCCCTATGCAACAAAACATGACAATATTTCTTAATGATTCTGTTTTTCTAAGTAACCTTAAATCATTGGCAATCTAAGGGTATTTGTTAACATTTTAATACATCACATGCTGGAAAACTGCTTAAGATGACTGAATGATTCTTCCGGGGGGTATTTTTCTGTTCTGGAACAAAAGGGTCACCGTAGACCAGACATCCTCTTCTTTCACAGACAGGTGCATATGAAGGAGGCAGCTGCACTTCTGGCTTTCCTCGTTCCTCTACTAGGGAAGAGCAAAGGTTTCCGGGTAGGCTGTGTGATTGTGGGAGAAGATGGGGAAAAATCCCTGCAGGTCACGTCAATGTCGTTCCTATGTCCCCTACATATGAAGACCACCGCGCACATGGAGCTGTAGGATGGAAGGTGGACTGAGTATAGACAGCTTTCATCTGGAACTGGGAAGCTGAGAATAGAGCCCTTATCTGGCAAATAGACTTTGGAACTCATGTAAGAAAAATAGCAGTGTGTAGGAAAAACGAACCTTTATGCTGATTTGTTAATTTTGAGAACCTTCTGTTGCGGGCCATGGAGGCAGGTAAACTGCAGGTCCTGGTAAGTGTGTGTGTTTGCTTCCGTTGGTTGTTTCATTGTGAAGGTAACGTGTGCTCACTGGACGATAAATTATCACAAATATCCCATGACTAAGTCATGAATATATGAATTCTTTGTCAAATAAAATATAGGTCAGTAGCTACCACAGGCTCATGGATAACCCACACAGAAATTGTACCGTTCATTTTAGGGAAGACTGCACCATTCCAGCCATGTCTAGCTGGGTGTCGTCATCATAGGGCCTGTGAACCAGAGTAAAATCGGATGTTTCCTTATGAACATACAAAGCGAGAGATGAAGAACCTGATATAAGACATCTTAAAAACTGCATTTTTAATTTTTTTGGAGAGGTTTTTGCTATAGGGCGCGTGCGCTCGCCAGACAGACAGAGAGAGACAGAGAGACAGACATCCCCCCCCAGGGGGGATGGCCATGCCGCAATCCCTTCTCCCCCATTCTCCTCTTGGGATCTTGGGCATGCACGCACACATGCCTGGCGTGAGTTTAAGCCACCGGGTCTGGGACTTGAACCGCGGTCGACTACGTGGGAGTCCAGCGACATAGCCATTACACCAACTGCTGGTTCCAAAGCTGCATTTTTAATATAACTTCACATGCTGTACTTTTAGCCCTTCTGTAACTTAATTTGCTGACTTGTTTTAAACACCAGGAGTAAATCAATGTTCAGATCTGCATTTCAATATAAATTAAAGAAAATGAAGATATAAAGTCTCCCAATTTTATGAGGCACAGTTTTGTTGCTGTTGCTGTTCTACTGATATATCTTGTGAGAGAGACAATCGCTCTTTTAAACACACAGACACTCCTCACTCAATGACTGAGTTCTGATTGTATGATTATGGTAAGCAAGGAGCTTAAAGGCAGAAACATTTAACAGAAAATGAATCGTAAAGTTCTCTGATGAAAAAAATGTATATTGTATACATCATGATGGGGACTTTATGTGAAATGTAAAATTAATCTAAAAAAAAGGCAACTATCTTGTGGTGTGTGCTGGTACCATGGCCTATGGGTTTATCAGTAGGTATCACGAGACACCACACGAGATAATACAATT